ACTTGGAAAGATGACATCACTTGGAAAGATGACATCACTTGGAAAGATGACATCACTTGAAAAGATGACATCACTTGAAAAGATGACATCACTTGAAAAGATGACATCACTTAAAAAGATGACATCACTTAAAAAGATGACATCACTTAAAAAGATGACATCACTTGAAAAGATGGTATCACTTGGACGATATAGATGTCACGAACATTTCATGGAATAAGGTAATTCTATTCACTATAAGTCTAGCTTTACAATTCTTTAAAACAATTTTTCGGTTGTTTCAAAAAATTTACAATGTGAGAATGATTTCGTCAACTTGCATGGAAACACTTCAAAGAGCCATATGATGGGGCGGAGTATAAAGGCCGAATTAGACGGTACGATTTTCGCCTCCAACCATCGCATGCAACCTGCTCATGTCATACTTMCGACATGACTTAGGTCAGATCCACACGCCTACCACATTTTACCTACAACTCGCTACGTGTGTTGCACGCTTTTTTAAAGTAATCGGCGTGTTTAAGGTAGAATGTTTGCATGATCAGGCCCTAGCAACTTAGAAAAAAGCTCGGTATGATAGATTATGAGTAGGATGACATAAAATAGACATGAAGATGATGATGATGACGATGATGACGATGATGACGATGATGATGAAGTTGAAGATGAAGAAGATGATGGTAATGATGATGATGATGAAGTTGAAGATTAAGAAGATGATGGTAATGATAATGGTGATAAATGATAATGAAGATGATGATGATGATGGTGATGGAAAAAATGATTTAAAAAAGCTCGGTTGTAAAAAATTATGAGTAGGATGACAAAAAATAGATACCTCATCTCATTTTTCGCTGAGGATAGACTAAAGAGTCCAAAAGCTTGGATCTCTAGTAAAAAAAAAAAGATTCTTGGTTGAGGAAGCGTTCTTGTATTTGTAATATACAGATATCCCGTTGATGAAAAGATTATTTTTAGCCGCGACGTGCTTCGTGTTCCTCTTTAGGGATGAGCCCTGGGTTTTTTATCTAAGAAATCTAAAAAAGCAGTTTATCGATTAATTTAGATACTTGAGATTCGTAGGAAACCACTCAGTCAGTCTAATCCTAAGTGCATCTCAAGTATTTAGATCAGGGTATCTAAAGCGGAAAACAGTTTTTTTGTCTTTTAAACGAAACAATAAGCGCAGAAGTTTTGTTTTTCGTATGAAAGTGCGAGAGTAAAGCGCGCGGAAATAGAAATGACGCGAACTTTTGAGGTCATCTTATCTAAAATAGCTTTTTAAAGCGGAAAACTGTTTTATATCTTTTATATAAAATAATAAGCGCACAAGTTTTAATTTTCGTATGAAAGTGCGAAAAGACAGAGCGCGCGGAAATAGAAATGACGTGAAGGTTTTAGACACCCTTATCTAAAATACGTACCTTTTAGACGAGTAAGAACTCGCTTTAGAAACTTTTTCTTTCAGTGAAAGTTTAAATTCAAGAAGCGCGCTAAATGGTATTTCGACCAATCAAAGCACGCAAAAGAACTTAATTATTTTATAAAACATCCTTTTAACGCAGAAATATTTAACGATCAAAAGAAATATTAGAAAACAATTTTGATAATACATATTTTGGGGTCAAACAAATACAAAATATTGTAAGGGAATACGTAAACTTGAGATGAAAATATGTTTTTGGAATTTACTTTCACATTATTCGTTCAGTTTTGACTATATTTTCGTATGCTAATAAGGAAGTGATTTCTTTGTGTGGTTTTGCTTGAACAGCTGTTCACTATGATCTGACCACCCAACTTTTATTAGTTTACCAGCGACCAACCAGTTATTCGACTCTAGGTATTCGACCTTCGACCGTACTGGTTGGTCAATCTAAGAATCTAAGTTTTAACTTAACCATTTATCCAACCTTCGAAATTCGACCATCCAACTTGTCATTATCGACCATCAGCTCACCTCTAACCTCTGAATTTCGACCAGGTCCCACTGAATGTCCCAAAAAAATATACTTTAGTTTTAATTGAAAAAGAGCCATACTATTATGCGACGTTAATTATGGTATATTCGCACCACGTGAATAAGGGAGATTCATTTTTTACACAAGTGAATATAATAAATCCGGCGAGCTCATTGGTCACAATTTATGCCTTCTGCTGTTAGATATGATTCATCTAAAGCACGCTCGTTTGCTGATTTTTACAGCTTCAGAGATAAATAACATTTAAGGGAAAAAAAAGAAAAAAAAGAAAGAAAAGAAAAACTCTCTCTCTGTTATTTATTAAATTCACTTGTTTAATTCAAATATAACGCACGCGCTGATTTGCTACCGAGCTACCGTGTTTTTTCAAAAGACGGTCAGAAACACTCTCGCCCGAAATCGCCCAAAAATATTTCGTAAAAGCAATATAAGAAGCTTGCTGATGTCTCTGTACTCTCAAAAGGCAAGAGAAACAAAGCTTGCTTCTCTTTTGCTCTACAGCTCAGTTCCAGCGTGTTTATATCACAGTACTGAGACGTGCGCGCGCGAGTTTTAGATTTACGTTCACGGCAAACGTGAAACTTCAGTTGACCATTTAAAAATTATTTTAAATAGCTTAAAAAGAATCGCAAAAAAGTCCAAGTAGTAGAAAAACAAAAGAATATTTGTCTTTGGTGAAAAGGTTTGTAAAAGATAAAGTAAAGTACAGGAAAGCGATGAAAACGTGGTCACGTTTGTCGTTTGCGGGGAGAAAAAAAGTCAATCTAAAACTCTCTAAATATAGAATAATTTCATGCAGCTAAAATTAGTTTTACTCAAAAGCTTTTCAGAATTTCTTTCCTTATGCTTTGTCTGTCACCATGGGTGACCGGCTTTGGAAAGACTGAAGCTGCTTTTGATAAGGCTGGAGTCTAGTTGRCTTGCGATTCCTAAACTAGGCAAATAGATTTATTAACGATTGTTTTTACGAGCARGTTAAATTATTTCATTCATCGACGATATCGTCAAGTATATACAGCCTGTCGAAACAAATTTCAAAGGATTATCACTGGCAATTAAAATAATAGCTTTTAAAAATTGATTGGATTTAAGTTCTGTATATTAATGTTGCTAGGAAAATTTACACTCAGGGCCGAGGATGAAACCCCTTGTGAAGTTTAAACAGACGTTTTATAAAAAGTACTTTTAAAATAAGTATATTCAATGGTAATCATTCCATGGGACAAAAATAGATCTTGAATTTGGCTTGCGTTTTTTGCAGCTAACTTTGTATTTGAAGCGTTTTGGAGTATTTTACGACATTTGGCCTCGGGGATAATTACTGCGACATGATAAAAGATGTCGTTACTTTTAATCACTACACTGATTCAGCATATTCCCCTAATCATGTTATCTCTGTTCGAAACAACACAGTGTTCCAGAAATGAAAGTATTCTGATTTCTGAAATGCGAAAACAAACTGGTCCTAATATATATGTATATTGTTCTTTCAGCCAATCAGAGTCCACAGTGGTGAGCCAGTTCAGGAACTATTCATTTGAAGACCAAGATTTGGTTTGTAAATGACAATATGTCAAAATCTTTTGCTTGTGTATTGTATATTTTTTATTACAAATGCATGTACAGGAATATAGGAGTTTAGTTAACGACAGTTTGTTGGTATAGGTTGTGTCTTGATGACAGCCTAAAGCGATTTGCACATGACACAGAACCTTCAGTGCTCTTCCGGTTTAAGACGGTGTGACATCAACACGTGAATATATTTACAAGTCGAAAAGGAAAAACATTACCTTCACTTTCCTGTGAAAGAGTCACTCATAAACATGGGATAAGGCACGAAGGACATTACATCGTCATTGAGGGAAGATAGAAGGACCTCAGGTCATAATCTACCAGAAAAAATGATTATTAATTTGGTTATATTCGCTCTACTTCAAGCAGTGTCGTCTGTCGAGGCCAATAGGATGGACGGGCCAGCGGCCATGGGATCCAACAGCAGTATAAAACCAACTTTATCGAATATTTCTCCACGAAGCAAGCGAGTTCGCAAAAACTTGCAAGAGAATAACTTCAAGAGCTTGATAGAAGCATTACAGCGTGTGCAGAGGATCCAGAAACAAATGGATGAATATTCCGAGTGCAAAGCGAATGATTCAATCGTGCTTGGAATTAAGTTCGATATCAGTGGATGGGAACACGAAGCTTCTCTAGTACTCGAGGTAGCAAACTTGTTGACATCCTTGTGGAGAAATACTAAATCAATCGTGCAAAGCGAYACTTTCTTGTACACGGTTGTGCGTTCAAATGTACTGTTTTCAAAATCAGTCTACGGGTCTGTTATTTGTTTTGAGAGAAATCATTACAAGGACTACGAAAGATTTTGCCCCTACGCTTACAGAGATAAAAAGCTAAATGGTCACATACATATAATGGATATTTCTGTAGGACACGACTACCTGACGGACAACGATACGATATGGTGGAGAGAGCCCAGAGTAAAAGCTAAAAATATGCAGGTTAAAAAGCTCTTTATGACCGAGTATCAGACGACACGGTTCAACGCTACTGCAGCTAATAGTATGGTGAACCTCACGTTGCCCGTGCTTCAACACATGGAACAGGGTTTCTGGACGCGGCCGTATTTTGACTGTTTTGGYGGGAAGAGCTGGATGGTGACCTATCTGGCTCCGTTTTTCAACGAAACAAATAATTTTCTGTAAGTACAAACGTTATAAATGTTAAATTTTTTAGATATCGTCAGTGATTGGGAACCGTTCGGCTTGGCTGGCGTCAGGTCACGCGGTGGGCACTAATCCTTATAACAGATTTTCCATAAGGATTGTGAGAAAATTAGAAATATCATCATATCGCTGTCGCTCGTAATTTTCTTTCAAAGGGGAATTGAAGTAAACATCCTGATTTTCGGAATTTTTTTTTTTTTTTTTTTTCGTGCTGTTCAAAAAACAATTAAGTTTGGACATCTTTACAAGAAATTGCAAGTCTAAGACTTCTGTCTTCACCACATTGATAAATTATGCAGTATTTCAAGAACACTATTCAGTTTTAGCCAAGGAGGTAGCAATTATACGAGAGATGTATTTAAGATAGTCTTTCACTTCAGCATAGAGATCTAAACAAAACTCAAAATAATTGTGGAGTTACCGTAAGTGTTTTTCGTTTTACATTTTAATTTGTTTTGCTAACTTGCTATGGAAAAGAATTTCCTGCACTTGTACAACACAAACGTTGTTTTGTCTTTGAAGTAATTTATTCTTCGCCGCATACCATTTTGTGGTCTCRACTGAAGTCTTTTCTAAGATAAGCTGCCCAAGCAATCTTTACTATTAAAACTGGGAACACTGAAGTGGCTTTCTCCTAGAATGTGACATTGAAACGGCTTTCACTTGCACTGAAATGGTTTTCATGTAAATTTTTTTTGTACTATTTAACTTCATTTGAAATCATTAATCATTCAAAAAGATGACATCACTTAAAAAGATGACATCACTCATGTAAATTTTTTTTGTACTATTTAACTTCATTTGAAATCATTAATCATTCGAGAGCAATTGAAAAGTAAAACTGGAATTTTCGAATTCATTTTATTATTTTTTACAGATTGTTTCATTTTATGGCATTGTTTAACAGTGTATTTCAGTTTGTCTCGCTTCGGTCGTCTCCAGCTGTGACCGAGAGTTCATAAGTTTAGATTTTAAGTTTTCTAAATTGATTAAAAGTCGTTCATATATTTTGATAGCTCCAGCCTCTATCTTTTTGTCAGCAGTGAAAACTCGAAACGCAATACAAACGAATAAATTAAGCTGAACTGATATACGAAAAGCGGTTGAATTACAAGCGTGGTTTAATACGCTTCTGGTTCATAATCCTGTGTATTCATGACGATAAAAATGGTGCTCTGATAACATATACAAATGATTGAAAAAGATTGAATGGTTAATGGTTTATGTCGATGAGGGCTTCGGCTTTTTGACATGATTACGAGCGCTTAATAATGGGAAAACAAATAGGTGTTGAACGAATTGAAATATTTGAAAGTTAAGATTAAAATGGAAATGAAAGTGCGAATAGAATGTTGTTTGTAAAGACAGAGATAATAGACCAGATGGAATTAGATTAAATAAATCAAAATACAAACAACAAAATAGGAAATAGAAAATGWGTCGTAAATTGGAGAAATATTAAGCTGAAAAGAAACGAAAAGCGCAATTTAATTAGATAAAAATTCAATCACAAAGAAGCTCACTGCCAGTGGTATGAATTCCCAGTATACCTCCATTTTACCGCAGTGGTTGATCCCTGCACTCTTCATATAAGTAGAGTTGTTTATTGGTTCTCTACTGTGCTTCGAGGGATTTTCTCGGAGGTTCTCTAATTTTCCTTCCTCCACAAAAACCACTTTCTAAATTCAAATTGGTCTTTCTGGGACCTTCACAACTGGCACGTAATCTTTTCTAGGCGTTGTTTATTCGTTCTCTACTGTGCTTCGAGGGATCTTCTCCAGGTCCTCTAACTTTCCTTCCTCCACAAAATCACTTTCTAAATTCAAATTGGTCTTTCTGGGACCTTCACAACTGGCACGTAATCTTTTCTAGGCGTTGTTTATTCGTTCTCTACTGTGCTTCGAGGGATCTTCTCCAGGTCCTCTAACTTTCCTTCCTCCACAAAAACCACTCTCAAAATTCAAATTAGTTTTTCTGGGACCTTCGCAACTGRCACGTAATCTTTTCTAGGCGTTGTTTATTCGTTCTCTACTGTGCTTCGAGGGATCTTCTCTGAGGTCCTCTAATTTTCCTTCCTCCACAAAAACCACTCTCTAAATTCAAATTGGTCTTTCTGGGACCTTCACAACTGGCACGTAATCTTTTCTAGGCGTCAAAGTTAGGATTTAATTAAAGATTATGGAATATTGGGGATTTTAGGAAAGGGATATGGTTACTTGAACAATGAATTTAAAGATTATATGAATCGTTTTGCATTTTAAATCTGCGGATTATTTTGGTCATTTATTTAGGATATATATTTGTTACAATTGGGATACGGATTATTTCCAAAATTTACTCGTAATAGATTATGGTTTATTCAGACCCTTTTAYAGGACCTCGCTCTCACCTGTAGGTGTTTGTAAAAGAAAGACTGAAAACTGAACTGAAGAACCGAGCTGAATAATGTTGTAATCTATGATCATACTTTTTGTTTCGTTCACAATTCCGTAGCCACYACTTGAGCAGTGTTCCGGTCTTTAAAAAGGTGGGGTTTTTTATTTACATTGTGTAATAAATATTTTTACGAGAAGGGAAAATGGTTCTGAACTCAGGACCAACCGTACTCGTGGCTACGGCCTTGGTTCCAGGTTTTTGATGATTTTGAAGACACTGTCCTAAGCCCTTTATGTTACTTAGGCGTAATGGGATAATAACGATGTTGATTGTTTTTATCCGCATGTATATGAGCCAGAAAATATTAAAGCGCAGAAATTCCGTTTAGTCACAGGTCGTCTATCATTTCAAATCACAGACCGATAACGTTTATAAACTCCTTAATTCCAATTCAATCATGGAACGAGGTCCTCAGATTTTTTAGCTACTGGCTATTAAATTCCACCTTCGTAAAACAAGGCGAATTTTTTTCCGGGAAAAAATTCGCTTGAAGAAACCGCATAAATCACATCTTTAAGGACGAGATAACTAGCTAAAAACTAGTGTGAGCTGCGTCGGTGTTTCTAATGAAACAGTWATGATAAAAAGGTAAATTATACACCGTGAAAAGATAAAAAAACTTACTGACGTAAGGACGACTTAAGGACGACTTTTTTTAGCATTGACACTGCGAAATGATTTAAAAGGAATAAACGAATAGAATCGTCATATTGAAATGCAAAATGATACCTTGCAGAATAGTCTAAATACATGGCTTGGCGTCTGGTAATGCTTCCTGACAAGCAGGTGAATACTCCTGTCTGTGTTTTGAGTTCGAATGAGGGTTTGTTTGCATCTATCTACGGTAAAACATCCCTCTCCCACTGACCTGTCATGTTAATACTATAACCATACGTGGTTTGTTATGTGCAAATTACTCGTTATTAACATGAAAATTGGATTAAAATTGAACTCAAAGATGAAATTATTCATTCGCTCGTTGTTTGGTTGATTGGGACTTTTCCACTATATCCTGTTTTCTTCAAAAGATAGATTTTCTTGATCGAACCCTGAAACAACCTCTAGGCGCACCCCCCAGCCTACGGGCCTGACTTGTGTCAGCTTTGTCGTCAGCTTGAGCTCGTAAGTCAAAAGGCAGTTGATTTAGTGTCAACGTAATCAAACTTTTGTTGTTTTGTCTTAATGAAATTTCATGATTTATCCGGCCCGTGAGGAAGGAGCATTATTCATTGTGGGAGGTGACCTTGCTTTTATCTCGGCTGTAAGTTTACTGTTTTGGTTCAAGTTGGCTAAAATGGAATGAAAAAATAAATGAATGAATGAATGAAAGAATGAACGAACGAACGATTGAAAGAAAAAAGCAGAGAAAGTAAAGTAAGAAAGAAGACAAACAAAAGGTTGAAGCGAATAATGATATTTTTAACATATTCTAACCGTCAACTCTCAAAAGAAATTAAAATTTTAAGTCTTAAACCTTCCCTACCTTTTCGCCTCATATTCCTATATCAGTTGCATTTTTAAATACCTTATTTCGTCATCACAGCTGCATCACCATGACAACAGACCTTTCTTTGTTTCTCTCGCGTCTTCCAAAGCTTAGTTTACTCTAAATTTTAATATTGATCCAGAGATGTTTATCTTTTTAAAAATCGAGCTCACTGTTAACCTTTTGTTGTTTGCATCTCTCTTCTCTTGCCTTTGTGTAAGCGCCATGCTCTACTTTACATGCCGTAACGACCACTATGTAGTCATAGTAACGGGAGTTCAGGTCGCGTACATGTTAATGGCTCCATTAGTCGCTCAAAGATTTTATTTGTTGTTCTAAACCTGTAATTTTTATGCAACTAACGCGATCTATTTACGTCACTTCATTAAAAGTTGAATATTATAGACGAATGTGACTAGCGCATTGTCTAAAGTGGGATTTTCGTTGCCATATTTTTTTATTTTTATGAAAGTATTGATTTGTCGAAGATAAAAGATAACTGAATTATATATGGATACCTCATTTTAGATAAACTTGAATTTCTTCATTAAAAATTGCTGGTCAAAGTCTTAAACCATCGCGTATTCATAGCGTACAATCACCACTTTATCTTTAGCAAATGTTATTTTTAGCAAAGCAAAGAATCCAAACTAGACTGGCCCGTGGAATTTTGGAAAAACGTTTATAAGTACTCAGTAATTCTGTAGATTTTAAGAAAAAAAAAAAAAATTTCTTCTCTCACAACAATTAAGTCACACGCTACATTCGAATTGCTAACAGCTCTATAGTTTGGTTCTATAGCTAGAAAAAAATAGTTCTGAAGCTAGAAAAAAACCCAGTTTAACTAAACAAGTTTTAGTTTAAATGAARTATATTGATATATAGTTCGATAATTTGAGTCTAGTTTTTCGCCGCGCGTGGCGTCACCTACGCTGATATACTGGAGATGTTTTGCTATTTTGCTGAAAGTAGTTTCAGCACAGCCCGTCGTCTGCCGCCGGTGACTTTCACTTTTGAGTGCAAAGTCTATTGTTCTCAAGCTATAGTTTCGTTTTCTGGACTGCAGTGTGTCATGATCCAAAAACGTGGTGTAGAACTCTTGTCTTTGCTTTTCGTTTCTAGGTTTCTTTCCTTTATTCGTTTCCTTTCCTTTGCTTCTCTTTTGTTTTCTTCTCGTCTATTTTCTTCTATTCTATTCTATTCTATTCTAT